GCAGCTACTGCCCCCCCGCCCCTGCTCAGCCCGGGTTGATGCCTTGGTGTATTTATTGGGAGCCACAAGTCTTTCAAGGCCAAAAGTCCCAGCTGGTGCGGAGCAGCGCGGCTCATCTATGGCGCTGATTTACATGGAGCATCTGCTGCAAGGAGAAGGGAGGAATACATTAAAGCACTGTAAATTCAGGTGGCAGAGCAGCCCTGGCAGCCCCAGCTCTGCAGCAGCCAGGGTTAGCCATCCCTGGTAGCATTCAGAGTCCCAGGGGAGGACATCTCAGAGAGAGAGAGAGAGAGAGAAAGAAGGAGAAGGGGCATTGGCTGGTCCCCCAGCACCAGGTATGAGGAGGCTGGAAGGGCTGCCATCCCAGGGTGCATCCTGACCCTCGTGGGCTGCACACAGCGAAAGAACTACCCAGTGTGGGGGATGCTCTGAGGCATGAGGGTAGCTGGGGTCCCAGACCCAGAGGACTGTGACAGCCCCTCTCTCTAGGCCATAAGGACTATCTGCAAGCTGCCAGCCTGGCATCAGGGACCATCAGCCTGAAGGAAGCGCCCAGAGCAAGGGCTTCAACTGCAAACCCTTAGATCAGCAGCCTCCATCCCCCACCTCCCTGCGATGTAACAAGCCCACTTTCTCGCAGGCATGGCTGAGCATCACACAGAGCAGAGCAGACGTGTCTTTGCTGAAAGCCAGCAAGAAAAGGGAAGACATAATTAAACTGTTGACTATGGCTGCAGACATTGCATAATGAAATTAGCCCCTTGGTCCCAGGCTGTGAACTTCCTGCAGAGTGGGCAGGCTCAGACTGCAGCAGCAGCAGCCCTCCGAGGCTACAGCAGCAGTGCCAGCTCATGCTCAGGGGCATTCATAGACCCTGCTCAAGGCTGAGCATCCTCTGAGCTCTCCACAAAATCACTCCCTCAAACTGCACAAGTCTTGCAGGTTCTAGCGCAAAATCACAGGGTTCCCTCAGAGAGGGAGCTCTCTGCACCTGAACAAGAACAGCAAGCTCATGTGTTCAGACAAGCATCCTGTTTCCTTTAAACATAGTAGGACTTCTGCAGAGATTTCTGAATTGTCCCAGGTTGAACTGGAAGAGGAGATTCTCATTTCCAAATGAGATCAGTCTGGTGCAGGAGCACCCATGTTACAGGCAGCTCCTGAATTCTGCTTCTCAGTATACCCAGCCATGGAAAGAACAAATTTGCAAGGGCTTGTGAGCACAGGAAATCAGAGAGGATGTTGCAGGGAAAAGATGATGTTAATTCAATAGTGAGGGTGTCTGTGTGCTGCTTGGGGGTGGGAAAGGAAGAGGGAGGGGAGCTGCCCCTGCCAGATCTGGGAACCATGGGAGAATCTGATAGGATTTCTGCTAGAAGGCAAATAACATCAAGCAGCCTCTGGAGATTATTTGTTTTCTCAGAAATCTTAACATGCAAGGACTGGCAGATAAACAGCAATTTTAGAGAAACCTCAAAGCATCTTTTTCCCTATTTTTATTTTTGGAACCCAGAAGTGGTGCAGGTCTTGCCTGCTTAGTGTACCAGGTGCTGCTAGCAGTGTGGGCAAAGGGAAGACCAGGACTGATGCAGATGCAGGAAAATTGACATGCTTATGAGGCCTGCTTAAAAATGGAGTTAGAGTCTGATTCTTCTCTAGTGCAGCCAGAAGTTCATGTGGGGTATTCTTCCTCCAGCATGCTTGCCCCATCCCTCTGCCCCATCCCTTTGTTGGCCCAGCAATGCAGGCAAGAGGCAGCATCTGTGCCCTGAAGGTTGGCTGCACAGGTACCTCCTATGGAGCTAAACCAATATAACAAAGCTTGGAAAGAACCAGGAACAGATTGTGTTGTGCACACATATGCACCTGCTTTTTCCCTTTTGGCAAAGCTGCTAGATGTCTTGATCCTGAATGGAGGATGTTAACTGAATCCTACTTCGAAAGTCCAGTGCAACTCAGAGGGCCTGTACTTGCAAGGACACAGGGAGGAAGAGGAAGCTTTGCAATGTGAGGATGATGAAGAAAAACACTGATTCCAGTGGTGCATGAAGTAGTGGATGGAGCAGAAGAGCCATGGTGAAGTGTTCAGGATGTTTTGAAGAGCAGCCTCTGTTCTTCAAGATGAGGAGAAATCTGTGGGGACCCACACTGGGAGGCAACAAGTGTGAGGTGTATTTGCAAGTGGACAAAGCCATCAGCTGAAAAATTGAGTGTTTGTAACTAATTATTTTCAGTGACTGACCAGCTTTATGGATGGTTGAATAAGGTTTGTCAAATAAATTATTCATGACTTCTTTCCACTGATCAGCAAATCAATTAACCACAAACTTCAATTCAATTATTAATCCAGCTCCAGCAGGATAAATGGGGATATTTATGACACACAGCCAACAGATGCATATTTCCAAACAGGAACCCTTAAAAACCTTAAACCTTGTTCTGAGCTGGTTTAAATGGCCCAAAGCTTTGATTCACAGTTAAACTCTCTGAGCTCATGTTCTGTATGCTGCCTGTTCTGTAACGTCTCCTGCCACCCAGCATACCTGGGTATGATACCTAGTGTGGGTCTGTGGGCATGGGGCATGGGCAGACATGGTCTCAGAAGGTTCAGCAGGGCTCCCAAGTGGGAAACACAGATATGCTTCATGATGAAGAAACTGTCAGATATGGCCAAGTCAAATACAAATTGTGGTGCAGAAATAACTGGGTAAGCAGCCTGTGTTGTGCATGAGGTCAGGTACAATGATGTACAAATCTCTCCAGCTATAAACCCCAAGGATATGAGCCTGTTGGAATGTTGCATTGCTGCAAATTAACCTCTACTGTTATAATTCACTGTAAAGCACTCTCACACCAAAATTAAAGAGTGTTGACAATATTAAGCTGCACAGTAAATGCAAGTAAAAGTTATTATACTAACAAATAGTCGAATTAGCATAAGAACTGGCTTTGCCTCACTGGAGTAGCAACTTTAGAGGTTGTGTAAGTGAAGCATAATTCAGCATAAGTGTGATAAGTGACCAGGACTGCACAGCGAGACCTCTAAATTGCCCTGCTTTGCATGACTTCACATCCCAATCATATTGGTGCTCCAGCTCAGAAATTAGGCCTTCCTGCCATACCTGGCATGGCCACAGGTCCCTCATAGCAATCTATAGTATTGCTCATTAATATGGTTGGAAATTAGGGTTGTGGCTGGCCTGCGTAGATAAAGCAAGTCCAGATGTAGGAGGGCAGCTGCTGTATGTGCCAGACAAAGCTTATTTTCCTGCAGCAATGTAGGAACAGGCACAGGAATAGCAAGGTACTCTAGGGGAAAAGCATCACTTGCAGCTTTGATTGACCTGGTTAGTGGATTAAGCTCATATTCATATAAACACACTTGCTGCCTTAATCTGCTTTCATACAGCTGCCTGAGAAGGTCCCCTTCTCACACAGTCCCATCCATAACTGGAGAGGGTTTATTCTTTTGGAGCAGCTTTAGCTACAGGGGACTGGTTTTGAAGGCACCTCTGCTCTCCTGGGATGTGTGCCCAGCCCATCATAGTGACTGGTGCAGAGCAGCCTCCAGCCTTTACCTCAAGAAATTACTGGAGCTGGGTTCGATAATTTTCCCTTAGTTAGCATCCCAGTGCAGAGGAAGAGTAGCCACACCAGAGAGCTGAGCCAGTCAGCTGTGTCAGGGGTCTACTGCTTGAGAAGCAGTGGGACGTTGCTTTCTGCATCTCACAAGGGTCCCCCATTCATGTCAGTGAAGGTGCAGCAGTTCCCTCTTTGCAAAGTGCTGTGAACCAGCAGGCAGGAAGGATGCAAGCAGGGCTGCAGGCTGGGGTCCCTCTGTCCTTCGCTTTTCAGTGCTGCATGCCCTTGGTGATGAAGACAGCTAACCAAGGAGCCAATTCTCTTGGATCACTGGTTCTGCACCCCAGAAAACACTCAAATTTAGGCTGGATGTCTAGGACAGGACACACCACATTTCAGCTGCTGCTGTCAAAAGCCAAGGTCTGTGGAGTTAAGAGATTTCTAGTGGCATCAGTTCCCATTCCCGCCCCCCCCCCGAAAATCTACTTATGGCAGGATGCTTTCAGTGCTGTCGGGGTCAGAGCTGCCACAGCAGTGCTGCTGCTGAAGCACTGTACCCGTGGCTGGGCAGGGCTGGGGGAGGTAGGAAGGCATGAGCAGGAGGGGGACTGAAAAATTGATACTGAGACAGGGCATGTGCCTGGCCTGGGCTCCCCATGGGATGGTGCGGGACCTCTGCTATGGGGTGACAGGCTACGGGGTGTGGGAAAAGACTGGGCAGCCCCTTCTCATCTTCCAGCAGAGCAGCTTGGCTACCCCCGGGGCACAGGAGAATGGCTGAAGGACAGCGTGCTGGGCTCTGATCAGAGCTCCCCAGGATGGTGACAGGGAATCCTGGCCTATGGCATTAAGATCAGCCCCAGGGGCTGGGGCTGAGGACTCCGGGGCTCTAGGACTCACTGTACCCTCCCTTGATGGGGATGGAGACGGTGGGATGGAGGGAGGTATTCCGGACTCTGAAGCGACACGCTTTTAGGTCGCTGGGATGCGGACAGGAGTCCCGAGGTCTGGGACCAATCCCAGCGCCCAGCTGCAAGGGGACGGGATCCCGGAGGACGGGCTGCTCCCGGGTGCTAGGAAGGGGGATGGGGGTCCCCGGCCGCAGGACGGCTGTGAAGGAACCTCCACCGCCCGGGAACGCGGGTCCCGGGGGACGCGGCTCCTCACGGGTCCTGCGGACACAGTGGCGGGCTCGGGGGGGCCCCCCTTCCCCTCCGCCCGACACCGCACCGCCCCGCCGCCCGCCCCCAGCGCGCCTCCCGCGGACGGCGGAGCGCGGCGCGGGGCCGCGGGACCAGCTCCGGGGCGGCGAGAGGCGGCTGGCGGCGGGGAGGGGGCGGTGGGCAGCGCGGCGGGGGCGGTGGGCGCTGCAGGGCTGAGCGGCGGGCGGGCGGGGCTCCGCGGCCCCCCCGAGGGGGGGGCACCCGCCCGCCCGCCCGGCGCCGCACCCGGCACACGGATTTACAGCGCGGACCGCAGCCTCCGGAGCGGCTCCAGCAGGTAAGGCACGGCCGGCAGCACCGGGGGTCCCCGCCGATACCCAGCCCCTGGCGTGGCTCCGAACAGCCCCGCGTTGCCTTAGCGCCTCACCGGGCTCCGGACGCGGCACAAGTTTCCCCCGTTGCGGTCCCACCGGGCACCGTTTCCCTCCTCCCCCCTTCCCCCCACCTCCACTCCGCCATCGGATGCTGCAGGGATGGGGCTGCCCCGGGCTGCTCCCCGCCGCCGGCCGCTCTCCCTCCCCTCCGCTCCCCGCTGTGCCCTATTCCCCCCGACCCACCCCGGGCGGGGCAACGACAGGGGCCGGGGTCCCGCTCGGGCAGGGCCGCGCGGGGTGCCGGGGGACTGCGGCCAACGCGGTCCCCAGAAGGAGGGTCTGCGGCCGGGTCGCGGGGGGAAGCAGAGCCAGCTGCTTGGGATGATGCGGGAGAAACCTCTCTTGCTTCTGGATCAAACTTGGCTACGGTAAACCTGCTCTTAGCCCGGGAGCTCCTGGCCAGGACCTGTGGGACGGGGTGTCCCCGAAGGGCATACCCGAGCCTCCCGACCCTCGGGATGCCGGTGTCGTCCCGATCGCAGGGATGCTCTCCAGCTAGGCCTCAGCCGAAGGATGCGAGAACAGTGCTTGATCTCTTTCCTCTGGGAATGCGAACTCTCTCCAGCCCTCCTCGCAGCAGGGCTGAATGCCGTGATGCTCGCTTTGCGGGCAGGGGATGCTCCCGGTCTCTGAGTTGGAAACCCTGCCTCTTTGCAGCCGACCTCAGATAGCGAGAGCCGGAGAGAAAGCACAGCCCGGGGGTCACTGCACTCCCCGGGGCACTGTGAGAGGGGCTCGGCTCTACCCTGGGGATAGTGACCGTGTTCTGAGTGGGATCTTTCCCTCTCCTACACCCTAGCAAAGGTGCTGCTCTCCCACAGGCTAGATGTAAACAGGAGTACTGCTGGGGGTCCCGCCCTGCCTCTCTGGAGCTCTCAGGTGGCTTTTACTTGGAGTGGGGGGTCTTTCCTGCACCTGGAATATCCGAGTTTTGCAGCCTTTTCCACTGTTTTCTTGCATGGTGGCAGTGTCTCCATCGCTGGGCAGCCAGGCTGTGCAGCTGAACTGTGACTTCCCGTGGGTGTCGGGTATTGATCCGTGTGTGTGGGAATCGTGCTCAGGCTAGCACATCACCTGGAGAGCCTGATCTGATGATCCCAAGCTGGAGCAGGGAGATCCCGAGTCCTCACTCCAGACATGCCATTGTCATACTTATTGTTAGGCAGTGAGACAGCTGACATAAGGCTTTAGGTGCACCATGGCGGTTATGTCAGGAATCTAGATGTCTCTTTAGTTGTGAGCTGCCTTCTCCTGGGCCTGCTGTAATGCCCAGTCCCAGTACCATCCCCTTGCCATCTCCTGAGCTTGTTGGCCCAACATATCCAGGGTAGCTCCTTGATCTGCCAGTGCTGACACTGTGCTGGGCTGCATTCAGGCTGCAGGATGTCCACCTCTGGCTGCACACCTCAGGTGGAACTTGTCTTCTCCCCTGGTTGCCTGTTGGGTGTAAAGGGTGCCCTGGGTTCATCTGCAGAAGTGGATGTGAATGGGAGACTGGTGACTGCATGCAAAATAGTCTGCCAGAAATCCCCTTCCTCTGAGCATCACCAACATAAGATGAAATAAGCACAGATCCTGCAATTTTAGGGCTCTCTACAGGTTTTGCTGCAACCAACAGTAGACCCTGCTGTATTTTTTTTTTCTTTTTTATTATTTCCCAACACAAAGCTTTTCCTGTCAGAATGAAAGCAGAGGTTTGTCTGCCTAAGCCAGTTACAGAAAAACATCTCAGGTTGAGACACTAGCAACACGAGGATCTCCAGCCCTGTCCCATTTACCTCTGTGGCTTCAGGGGCTGCCTGAGCATAACTGTTCTTAAACTCCCGTGCACCTGGCAGGGTTTCTGCCAGAGAGGTGTCCCCCTGCTCCCTTTAAAAAATAGCAAGGGGAATAAACAGAGAGCACTGTGAAAGTGCTGGAGGAGGGTTTCAAAGCGGTGGGCTGAGGAAGCAAGCGTGTCTTGGCACAGCGTTGCAGTTGGAGCTCTCATCTGGAGCCGAGTCCCTCATGCTGCGTTCCCATGTCCCCATCTGGCTCTGGGCACACTGTTGTGTGCTGCAGGTGCTCTGAGGAGCTCTTCAAACAGTGGAGGATCTGGGCCCCAGCTCCTCTGCTGCCTTGCTGTGAAAAGGTGGGGATAGCCCCTAGGAGTGCTGTGTACACGTACCAACCTGGGAGACAGCCTTGCTTATTCACTTATTTAGCACCTACATCCAGAGAGAGAGTGTTTTCCTGTGCCTGTTTTTCTGCTTTAACAAACTGATAGGTTGCTGTAGGCTCAGGGTCGTCCATCCGTGTCCCCTCCCTGTGCACAGGGGTACAGAGCAAGGCTGTGCTGGCCCTAAGAGCCACAGCAGGGCTCTGCTGAATCACAGCCACCTGAATGCTCCCTCTGCCTTCGCAGGTTCCTTCTGGTGCTCTGACAAGTAGCTCCATGTGTAAACGGGGATTTATTCAAGACTCCTGGGAGGAGCAGCTGGCAACGGAATAGCTCTGTGGCAAAAAACGTGTGTGTGCATGTGTGTGTGTGTGAACTCCAGTCTAAACGGAAGAGGGAAAACATCCAGAGTTACAGAACTAATGCAAATGGAGTTGGCATTCATCTCTCCCTGCAGCATCCTTTGTGGAAGGCATTTGCATTTCCCCAAAGTCAGTTCCTCCCTACCTGTCCCTTAAGCAAATCCATTGCTGTGGAGCAGTTTTACAATGTGACGTGTGGTTCTCCAGATCTGGAAAGAGATGAAATCAAAATATTTGAGAAGCAAAGCTCTTATTTTAAGGTAGTAACTCTGGACATGGCAGAGGTTTGGCTACGGACTGCGGTGTGCCTCACTATTGATTGCAAGGCTGGGATCCCCTCCCTGAGGGAGGGGATCAGAGTGGCTCACACATGCCTCTGACCTGAGCACAGCTCTGGGATGCCACCAGGAGCATCCATTTGCTCCTGGAAATGGATGCTCAGAGTGGTCCTGCATCACGGGAGACCCCTATGGCTCCCATCTAACAACCACCTGCCCTGGGGTCCCCGAGTGTTCTCTTCCCTCTAGCTCCAGTGGTGTGGGGGGCTGCTGGGCCTGGTGTCTGCAAACAGTGCCAGGGTGGACTGCTGCCATTTTGGAGGGAGCCTCCAGTTCAGCAGAGATACAAACAAATCAGGATTTCAAGAGCAATCTAGCAATAGCTATTAGCTATGCTAGAAGGATTAACAGCTCTGCAGGACTCATCAAGTGTTTAAAACATAACTCAAGCTTCAAAGGCAGCTCTTATAGGCTCACATTTTCACTTCAAGTAACTCTGAGAATTCCTATTGAACTTAATTAAAACATCCACTAGGCTCCTTAAAAAAAACAACTCGAAGGTTTTTTTTTCTTAAGCACCAAGCCATTTTGAAGACAGAAGTTCACAGAGAAGTATGCAGATGTCTTTCTTAAAGAATCACCTTTGTGAAAGTCTCCTATCCCCAGACCACTGTGTCTGATTAATCTTAAGCTTTCCAATGAGGATATAAATAGGGGGGTTTGGTGTGTTGTTTTGGTTTTGTTTTGGTTTGGTTTTTTTTCTTCCCCTGGCTAGGGACCACAGAAGAAAGATGAAAAAGTGTGAAATGCTTTGTAGAGAAAGTTAGACAAGAGGGTGGGGGAGTGTCAAAACCAAACCTATAATAGGAAACAAGCCACTGAAATGCTGGTGAAAGTACCTTTCATCTTGAAGGCTCCAAAGTGCTGTGCAGTGCATGAATGCACACAAGAACTGGGAAATAATTGACAACAACTACTGTCATAAGATGAAGTCACCAGCTTTGCTGGCAGTGGAGTCACCTCAGGCAGGTCACCAGCTCACTTGCCATTGGCCCCTGATTGCTTGCTCTTGGATTTGTCCCCGGTGTTACGAGCTGGCTCAGCCAAGCTGTTCTGCAAGACCACAGGCCAAAGTGTCAGATGCTACACTTGTGTGACACTTCTGTGAGGGCGTCTGGTCCTGAGCTAGCCTGGCATGGCTGAGGTGTGATAGTGATAATCAGCCCTTTCCTTGGCTCTCCCCCTTGTCTGCTTGGTCCTGGGCAGCATTGCCATCATCTTACACACGGTCATGATTTAATTCTTCTCCCCCGTGACATGCCCAGTCTTGGTGATGCTGGGTCATCCCCAGGCATATATCCTCCCTGACCACTCTCACGCCCATCTGTCTGCCTCAGAGGCCTTAGTTATTTCAAGTGCCCTGGGGAAACTTGAAATGGGTAGAAAAGCTCCCTCTGTATGAGGTATAACTTGGGTGGTGTCACTGGAGCTATGGGTGCATTAAACACATTATTTAAATTTAGTAAATGCTTCTTTGATATGCAGAGAGGCCTTGAACATTTAGGATTTCATCCATTATGTTAATTTTGTTTGGTTTGATCAATAATGAATTAACATCTTCCAGAAAAGGATTAAACAGCTGCTGCCTTTCCTCTTGTTTACAGGTGAGTTTAATTTCTTCCTCCTCAAGCTGTCCTGTGTGGCCAGAGGGTGCCTGGAAGGGTAGTGCTGAGAAGTCCCATCAGGAGCAGAGTTGCTCCCATTGCATCTTGTGAGATTTGCAGCACACCTCACCTCTTTCCTTCCCACCTGGCCATTTTCTTCCGGCAGATTGTAGGACTTGAGCGTATAGCCTCCTGCCCCTGGATATCCTCTGAGCTGCCCCTGGGGACGTGCCATGCACCGATGCTGAGGACAGCGAGCTGCAGTCATGTAGGGCTGGTGGCTTGGGAAGGTGTGTAGCACAGACTACATACCCATGTGCTCAGTGCATGGATGGGATGTGAAATGTAGGAATTAGGTGGTAGACAGGGTTTTTACATCAAATGTTTATAGCACCTTCTTCACTTTGTGTCTAGACATAGCTATAAACGAGGGAGAGGGCT